TTCCTTTTTGATGCAGTCTTGAATGGGACTGTTTTCTTACAGCTGCATGTTTAACCCATGTGGAGATCAGCCTTCCTCCCGGTCCTTCCCTCTCCCTCACCCTCCTGATGGACTGCTTCCATTGTCTGCCATCGTGCCTTTTCTTTAGGACTCTTATTCTCTCTGTCTACTCAGGTTTTTTTGCTTGTTTTCCTTCCGTATTTTTTTTTCTTTCACCAGAGGATGGTGGGGAGGAATGGCTAAAGCAGTTAAATTTCAAGTTAATTGCACTAGAGCCACACAGGTTATTGGGATCCCCAGAGACTACGGAATTCTGCAGTCCAGTTCATATCTCAACACTACTACTGTTCAGCCATGTGACTTCGAACAAGGATGCTTGATTTCTCTGATTCTTGGGTTTGCCACCTGTAGAATGGGGATAATAACAACTACACAGAGTTGTTGTGAGAAAATGGGAGATAATAGAGTGGTTTGGGGGTTGACACTATCAGATATGGAAGGAAGAAAGGGCTTCCTGACCTCTCGCCCCCTCAGTGTTACCTCTTGATTCTCTTTTGGTCTTGTTTCAGACCTACCCCTGCCTGCTTTCTCCTTCTCCCTCTTCATCTCGCGCCAGACTCGACCCTGTGTAACTGTTCCAAGGAACAGAAAGTAAGAGAGTGTGCTGAAATGAATCTAAGCTGACTGCTCACGCTTTAGCCAACTTTCAGAAATGCTCCAGCCAATCAGGGAAATGCAAGCTCCATTTACAATTCCTTCTGAATTCCAAAGAATAGAAACCTCGCCAAATATGCACTGAGGAAGTCCTGCCTCTGATCGTACAAAATATGCTTAGAAATGTACATCTTTGCCTGCGCTCTGCAGACGGATCCTTTAACATCCTGCTTTAAATATTGCTGTCAAGCTCCACGTAAGAACAGAACACCTAAGGAGCTAGCCTGACCTGTGGCCGTATTTAAAAGTTAGAGATTAACCATTCTCACAAAGAGAACAGAATCTTTAAGCAGTGGGAAAAGCAGATTCTTACAGTTACCCACCTGCAACCATGCTTTCTCACCTGTCTGAACCCAAAGCGGAAAGTTTGAGAAAGGTGGACCTGGGTGGTAAGAGAGGATAGAGGCCTAGGGGGGTGCCCTCACGTGACACTGAATTGGCAGAGCGAGGCTTGGGGCAGCTGGAGGAGAGAGAAGACCCGTCCAAAGCCTTTGTTCCTCCTACGCACAGCATGCTGGTGGCCCTCTTAGAATGTCCTCACGGCCACAACACTTAGAGTGAGTGTTCATAGCAACTGGGCAACCACCTTAATAGGCCAGGTCTCCCTTCCTGATTGCGTGCCCGCAGTCCTTGTGCGTGCCTAGGAAAGTTCTGCTGTAATCATTCATTGTCCCTAGTTTCATGATCAAAGTTAGCCTTGTTAAACAGCAGATCGGACAGCACAGCACCCTTCAGACTCCCCTCAGTCACGGCCCTCACCCCTCTCTCATGCCTACTTCCCCTCCCACCCACTCCCTCTTCCACCATCTTCTCTCAGACCTGCTTTGACTTGGTTCCCATCCACGAGTGACACCTCGACCTGATGTCAGTGAGGATGCCAAGGTCCAGCCTCACAGCCGAGGCCCTTGGCACCCACCTCAGAGCCGTCCTTGGCACCCACCTCGGAGCTCTTGTTTGCCTGCTGAGTGTGCATTTTTCCCTTTTGCCTCCCCCTTGTGGATTGTCAAAGCCCACTTGTTTGGGGGCAAGATGTGTGTCATGCTAGGCACATAGGGAACGGCAGCCCCCTTGTTTTGACAAATAATCCAGGTGTCCACCTTGAGGAGCACAGGTTCTGCATAACCACAACAGCAGGATCATCGGGTACGCTTTTCTCAGTCATACAGGTTGCACACTGCACAACTCTGGGAGTACCATTCCCATAGGTTACAATACGAGGGGCATCCCCCAGACTTACACAGTTCAGTGGTCGATACTGATGATAAAAATAATACATCTTTTTGTTTATTAAGCTAGGGACCAAGCACTATATTGAGTGTTTTTTATGGAAGACCTCACTTAACCTTTCCATAACTCTCTAACGAAGTAATTAAGTTTTTATCCTCATTTAAAGATGAGGAAACTTGAGGCTCAGATAGATTAATTCATCCAAGTTCGTGCATTCAGTAAGTAATAAGGCTGGGATTTGAAGCTTGGAAGCCTGACTTCTGGAACACGCGCTCTGAAT